TCAAATAGAAAATAAATGTTTAGAAAATGATGATGGCAGCATATGTACAAATATGCTTGATACAATTGATGTTTGGAATGTTTTAAGAGGTGTAAGAGCCCCTAATAAAATTATTTTTTTTTAAAAGGGTTCTCGTGAAACTGCTTTCTTGAAAAATTTCTCTGACCAGAGAGAACCTCCTTGGCGACACCATTGGGTGTTCTAACTCAGAGTGAGTTGCAGAAGCTCGCCTGGTGGTATAAATACATACTGCGAAAGCTCTTGCAGTGGAGCTTTTTCTGTTTTGTGGGGGTACGCCTTGTAGGTACCAAGGTTTCTTTATCCATGCTTCTGCTGATGGGCATTTGGGCTTGTTTCCACCTTCTGATTTTTGTGAACTGTGCTACATTGAACAGGATGAGCACATGTCTGTTCATGGTCTGTCTCTTTTTATTGCTGGGTTGTATGCTATTTCATTCCCGTTTGTTGTAGGTCTTGCCATGTCACTTTCCAAAAGCCCATGGCAGTGTGTAAGAATTCCCAGCTCTCCAATATCCTCTCCAGCATTTGTTTGTTCTGTTGGGGTTTTTTCAGTATGTTTTGTTTTGTTTTTTAATTGGGCTGTCATTGTGAGTTGAAGGTGATATTTCATCATTTTTTATATGTACAGATATCTGATGATGGTGAGAATTTCCTCATAGGTTTGTTAAACATTCTGTTGTTTTCTCTGGTGAGTTCTCTGTTCATGTTCTTTTCCCACCTGTTAGTTGGATTATTGGTTTTCTTCTTACTGAGATGTTGCAGAATTCAGTATATTTTAGTGTCCATTGTATCATTGCTAAAGATTTTTCCCACAGTCTGTGGGTTCTCTTCTTGTTTTAGTCTTTTGATGAACTTTTTTGATGTGCATAAGAGTCTTATTTTTAGTTAGTCTCAGTCATCTACTTTGTGTGCCACTAATTGTGCTTCTTTTAATATATTTGATAGTTGTGTATGCCCTGTAATAGGGCCCTTAGGTTTGTCCCTGTTGTCTCACTGATGATCTTTAGAGTTCTGGGGTTTACATTTATTTCTCTTGAATTTGTTTTTGTGCATGGGGCGAAGTATAGGTCTTCTTTCATTATTCTGCATTTGTAGATCCAGTTTTTCCAGCACCATTTGCTGAAGAGGGCGTCTCTTTTCCATTTAAAGTGCTTTTAGGTCCTTTGCCAAAAGTCAGTTGCCTGTAGGTGGAGGCTTTTATTTCTGTTTTGTGTTGGTTTTAAATTCTCTTCCATTGGTCTCTGCATCTATCATTAGAACAGCACTGGGCTGTTTTGACAACTGTGACTGTGTAGTAGGTTTTGAGGTTGGGTAGTGCGAGCCCTCCTACTTTGTTGTTCTTTTAAGGAGTTCTGTGCTTATCTTGGGTCTCTTCGATTCCATATGATAGTGGTAATTAGTTTTTCTTTAAAGAGTGACATTTGGATTTGGATGAGAATTGCAGTGTATTTATACATTGCTTTAGGAAGTATTGGTATTTTCCCCATAGTAAGTCTTCCCATTCCATGTACAGGGGATAGTCTTCCATTTGTGCAGCCCTCTTTTGGTTTCTTGTAATAGTGGCCTCTAGTTTTCTTTGCTTGAGTCTTTGTTTCTTCGGTTAGGTATTTCCTCTTATGTGAATAGTGTAAGTGGTATTGTTTTCTTGGTGTCTTTTTTAGAGTTTTTTTCCATTGCTATACTATAGGAATCTGAGTGATTTCTGTTTGTTAATCTTGTATCCTACTACTTTACCAAATACTTTGATTGTTTCTGACCATCTTTTTGTGGTGTCTTTCGGATCTTGGGGACTGGCAAAGTGAGGAGGAGTCTGGCTGTGTGGGTTACATCAGGGTTTGGAGCAGTTCTGTTCTTGCCAGGGGAGGTATATACCTACAGTCTACTCGTACACAAAGCCTAGAGCGGTATATTGTAAATGCAGGATTATCAAGGACTTTAAAATTAATGTCCCTAGGCTATGTAAAATGAATATACTATATTACGTATGTAATAGGGAAAAAAAACACAGCCCTATTTTCCAAAGAATGAACACATGCCAGCATAAATGGATTATGTAGAAAAGTTTTTTTAGAAATCATGTGTCTAGAAAATCATTCCCAATGAACTGATCTGAACATCATAATGATACAGATGCGCTGAGTTTTTATTTGTGTCCCACCCAAACCAAACTCATTGCCATTAAGCTAATTCTGACTCCATTGACCTGTAGATTAGTGTAGAATTGCCCCCATAGTGTTTCTGAGACAACAAACATTTGGTTCCCTAATACTAACCTTTTTATTGCAGTTTTGTGCTTAATTACTGCAGCACTGTGGTTCCTTTTAATTATGTAGGGCGTACTATTTCTGGAGCCAGTATATCTGAAGCAGAAAAACCTGAGGATTTTTTTGGCGGTGGGGGTTGGGGTGGCCTGGATTCATTTAAAAAGATCCAATGCAGTCTGTTCTAGTCACATCTTTTCCTAGAAAATGACTTGCCCGGTTTAGAAAACATTCATTATTTTAAAATTCCATGTGCTCAGATTATTTTTGGGGGCCTTTTGACAGATCGTCTGGATATTCGGGCAGCCCGAATTCTTCTGGATAATGACCATTATGCCATGGACAAGTTGAAGAAAAGAGTGCTGGAATATTTGGCTGTCAGACAGTTGAAAAACAACCTGAAAGGCCCAATTCTTTGCTTTGTTGGCCCCCCTGGAGTGGGTAAAACAAGCGTTGGAAGATCGGTGGCGAAGACCCTCGGTCGAGAGTTCCACAGGATTGCACTTGGAGGAGTATGTGACCAGTCTGACATTCGAGGACACAGGTAGAATGCTTCTCTGCTTTTTCTCTGATTCTGTTCTCTGCTTAACTGTCAAAAACAAAGTCACTGCCATCTGGTAAATCCTGACTCATAACAACCTTATAGGATTACAGAGCTGCTCCATTGTGTTTCTGAGACTAAACTTTTATAGGAGCACAAAGCCTCATCTTTTTCATATGACACAACTGGTGGGTTTGAACTGCTGACCTTACAGTTAGCAGGCCAAAACATAATTGACTAGAGCCCCCCCCAAAAAAGACACACAAGACTGTCTGTAATATCCTTGAATGGAAATAACAGTTATTAGTTATAGCTGTTCCCCTAATGATACCAAACTAACACTGATATTTGTGTAACATGGAGTAGTTAGTATGCCTCTGCTTTCCTGGAAGCCTATTATAATATAATTATAAGTTATTAATGATGAGATATTATAAGACTTTTACATTTATTTGGCCCAATAGCTTTTCATAAAAATGACCCATAATATTAGTTTTAAAAATAAATGTGAAAACTGGGCAGGTATGAGGGATTAAGAAATTTTTATTAAATGTGTTCTTGAATTTTAAACTTCCTTTTATAAAGACTAAGGAGCCCTGGTCATGCTGTCAGGCAGGTGTTGGTCTGCTGACTGCAAGGTTGGTGATTGAAATCACTAGGAGTTCGTAAAAGAAAGTTCAGGCTGTCTGCTCCCATAATATCAATAGCCTAAGACACCTAAGACACCTACATAGACGCACTAAAAGTTGGAATCAACTCAGTGGCAGTGATGGATTTATAATGGCTGCTTTGTAGTACGATATGAATAACAATTAACATTATCGTAATTATTAAAGCTTATCCTTACGCTGGAACCCTGGTGGCATAGTGGTTATGCTTTGGCCTGCTAACTGCAAGGTCAGCAGTTCTAAACCACCTGCTGCTCCAGGGAAAACTTGACGTTTCTACCTCCTGTTCAAGAGGAACAGTCTCAAAACCCACAGGAGCACTTCTTGCCTGCAGGGTCACTATGAGTCGGAATTAACTTGATGGCAGTGAGTTGGTTTTTAGGTTTTGGTTTTTTTAAATCCATACACAAAGAGTTCCTGGATAGTGCAAATGATTAAAATGTTTGACTATTAACCAAAAGACTGGTGTTATGAACCCATGCAGAGTTTCTCCAAAGGCAAGCTTGATGATCTACTTCAGTTTGTTAGATGCCATAGAGTTGTTTCTTACTTACAGCAACTCTCTATACAGCAGAGCAGAACACGTAACCCAGCCCTGCGTCAGCCTCACACTTATTCACATGTCCGAACCAGTCATGGAGCCAGTGTGTCTACCTATCTTGATGAGAGTCATCCTCGTGCTCTGCACACATTGAGTGACTCGATGTCCACCGTGAGTCGATAGCTTCTGGGTTTGCTTATCCTTGCACTTTTGACATGCTTTTTATCAAAATACATTAAATAGGTATTTTGTAACAAAAGGCAAAGTAACATTAGGAAATATGCAAAGACCTACAGTTAAAACCTAAAAAGGAAGAATATGTTCTGTTTATTGCAAAATGAAAGAACTGAAGACCTAAGGTTCATTTGACCCATTCTCTTGTTTGTTTGTTTTTAATCACCTCATATGCATGTGGAAGTTGGAAATTTATTTAGGAAGCATGAAGAAGAATTGATGCATTTGAATTATGGTGTTGAAGAAGAACATTGAGAGTACTTTGGACTGCCAGGGGAATGAACAAAACTGTCTTGGAAGAAGTACAGCTAGATTACTCTTAAGTAGTAAGGGTGGTGAGATACTGGTTCAGATGCTTTGGACATGGACATAGCAGCAGAGACCAATCCTTAGGAAAGGACATGTTTGGCAAAGTAGTAGGGTAGCATAAAAAAGAGGAGGACCCTCAAAAGCCTGAATTGACCCTGTGGCAAGAACAATGGCCTCAAATATAACGAGTATTGTGAGGCTGACACAGGACTGGGCAGTGTTTCGTCTGCGGTATGTTAGTCACTATGAGTCAGAACAGACTGGATGGCACCTACAACAACAATCGTTTTTGTTGTTAGGTGCCATCGAATTGTCTCCTATGTACACAGATTATAGTGACCCTATGTACAACAGGATGAAACTTCCTGATTCTATGCCAACTTCACAGTTTATGTTTCAGCCTATTGTTGCAGCCACTGTGTCAATCCATCTTGTGGAGGGAATCTCTCTTTTCTCAGCCCTCTACTTTACAAGCATAATGTCTTTCTCCAGGGACAACATATCCAAAGAATGTGAGATGAAGTCTCACCTTCCTTCCTCTAAGGAACATTCTGACTGTACTTCTTCCAAGACAGATTTGTTTGTTCTTTTGGCAGCCCATGGTACTTTCAATATTATTCACTGGCAACATAATTCAAATGCATCAATTCGTCTTTTGTCTTCATTATTCAGTGTCCAACATTCACATGCCTATGATTAATTCCTAATTAATCTACCATTGTCAGAATCAGATTTGTTTCTTCTCTCTGGATGCTCAGATTGGAAGATGCCTTGGGAAAACAGGAAATTAATTCATGGTTTAAGAGGTAAGGGTTTCCAGCATTCTCTGAGGCTCACCTTCCCGACATGAGCACTGAAGACAAAATGGATGCATAAGCAAATGTGGTGAAGAAAGGTGACGGTGTCCGGCTATCCAAAGATAGAGCATCTAAAGTCTTAAAGGCTTGAAGATAAACAAGCAGCCATCTCTGGCTGAGAAGCAACAAAGTCTACATGGAAGAAGCACACCAGCCTGTGTGATCATGAGGTATCGATGGTATCAGACATCAAAGACCCAGAACAAAAAAAATCTATCAATGTGAATGACAGGGAGCATGGAGTAGAGACTCAAACCCGATCTGTAGACAGTTGGGCAGCCCCTTACAGAAGGATCACAAGGAAGAGATGAGCCAGTCAGGCTGCAGTGTAACACTGACGAAACATACAACTTTCCTCTAGTTCTTTAATGCTCCCTTCCCACACCCCAACACCCCCCACTATCATGACCCCAATTCTACCTTACAAATCTGGCTAGACCAGAGCATGTACAATGGTACAGATAAGAGCTTGCAACACAGGGCATCCAGGACAGATAAACCTCTCAGGACCAATAATGAGAGTAGCAATAACAGGAGGGGAAAGGGAAGGTAGGGGGAGAAAGGGGGAACAAATCACAATGATCGACATATAACTTCCTCCGAGGTAGATGGTCAACAGAAAAGTGAGTGAAGGGAGGTTGGTGTAATACATGGGGGAAAAAGTTTATAAATTTATCAAGGGTTCGTGAGGGAGGGAGGGAAATGAGCTGATACCAAGGGCTCAAGTAGAAAGAAAATGCTTTGAAAATGATGATGGCAACATATGTACAAATGTGCTTGACACAATGGATGTATGTATGGACTGTGATGAGCTGTAAGAGCCCTCAATAAAATGTTGGTTTTTTTTAAGGTAAGGCTTTCATAGTAGTTATGAATTGTGAGTAAATAATAGTGTCTGTTAAAGAAAATTTTTAAATGTAGAACATTAAAAAATTTAGAATCCATAGACTTATTATAAAAGAATATGATGCAAAAAAGAATAGGAATTCTTATTTTCATCTGCCTTATTCACAAGGATCTTTTGTCTTTTTGTTTGTTTTGTTTCTTAGGGGTCTTTTGTCACAGCAGGGATGAGAAACTAAAAATTTTCCAGGAAAAAAATGATTATTTTTCATCTTTTTACCTATATATACGATCCTTATAAAATTATTCTAAGGATTTAATGAATTCTGACATTGTAAAAAGAGATTTTGTTGCTTCCACTTTCTATTCTCACATGTGCCACTAGAGGGTAGTGTTTGCCTTTGTAAAGAAATTGGCATCATTACTCTTAGCCTGTAATCTTTACAGTAGCTTATTGACAGGTCTTTTCTCCCATGTAGCTTCTGGTGGGTTTTTACCTAAAGTTTAGCAGTTGAGCACATAACCACTGTGCCACAAGGTCTCTTTGTTTATGCAATAGGGCTTAGATAATTCTTATTCAATGTCTTGCACACAGTGTTCCATAAAGTTAGCTTTGAATATTGTTATGTTAATTCTAAATTCTCAGGAAAGGTATCCAAAAAACCAAACTCACTGCCTTCAAATAATGACTTTTTAGAAGAGGGTGGAAATTCCCCTTGGGTTTCTGAGCGTTCTTTATGGGAGTAGAAAGCCTCATCTTTCTCCCTCAGGACAAGAATAGATTTGTAAATTTCAATAGGACTTTAAAAAAATATTTTTAACAGTTTCATTGACATATAATTCACATACAATTCAATGTTTTAAGTCTATTAAAGAGTTATGTTACCATCACCACAATTTTAGAACATTTTGTTCATTCTTGTACTCATTATTATGAGCTGCTCATTTACCCACAAGCCCCCCTCCCTTCCCTAACTGTAAGAAACTTAATCTAGTATAATTTCTTTATCCTGGATTTCATATCAAGAAACTCATACCTAACCACAATAACAACAAAAAAGCATCAACAAACATCAATCCAAAAAGAGCAGAAAAACTAGAACAAATTAAAAATATGTCAAACGAGAAAACAAATGGTAAGATGTTAAATTTTAATCCATGTGGGGATTCTGTGAGTGGATTTTGGGCTTTCATTGTTATCCACAGCCTTCTGCAAACCAGTGATCAGAATTTAAGCTCTACTTCCATTCTCTCTTCTGGTCTTGGATTTAACTATTTACAATCATTGGATCACAGAAAAACAGGCTAGTGTGCTTCTATATGTGGAATTAACTGACATCTCACTTAGTTGCTGCTTGTTTTAAGACCCCAGATCCTATTCTTTCTAACAGCCAGACACCATCATCTGATTTCTTCACTACATTTTGCTATAGTACCCATATCTTTAGTGGCCCTTTCTGAGGGTAAGGATTGAGCCGTACACATTGTAAGAACTGTTGGTTCTTAGGTTAGGGCGTATGGTTAAGTACAAGCTCAAAATCCATTCATAAA